ATAACCATGAACAGGCATTCAAAGAACACTAGATATTTGAAAGAAATAAAGAGCATGCAAAATATGAACTCAAATAAGCAACCCAAAGATCTCAGGGTCATTTAAGGAAAAAAAGAAAAAATTCAATTTTAGACAGCATTCTTAAAATAGCTAAGCTATGAGTATTCTTAAGGAATGGAAAGAGAAAGACAGATGAAGGAAGAGGAGGAGAGGGGATGGAAGGGAGGGAAAGGGGAAGGGAAAGCTGAACAGGAAAAAGAAAACCGGGGCTTCTTGAAATAACAAAATCAAAGAATGAGTGTCTAAAAACCGAGCACATAGTTAAGTATGGTATTAAGTATGATCAGAGTCTCCTGCCACCACGCCTGGCTGTCTTCACTGGGGCCAATCAGAGGGGAGAGGGTTGAGTCTCCCTCCCTGCCCCAAGCAGAGAGCCCCAACAGTCAAAGACCTCCAGAACCCAGCCACAACTGTGGTCAAGGCCACTCTCCACACGCTCTGATCAGCCTCAAGCATGAAGGTACCGGCAGAGGAACCCAGGTGTGCGGGACCCGGGGCTGAGATCTCCAATCCTGCTTAGATCTGGACTGGGCCTCCTCTACCCAGATCCCCCCTTTTACAGTAGCTTAGCAGTCACGCCCACAAACTGCTCCCCTGCGCCATGCAATCCCATCAACAACCAAGATCCAGAGACTATAAAACAAAGCTCCCGGAAGTGCACGGCTGCATTCCTGGATGCGCAACATCTTATAGTCTAGTTCTCTCTCTCGGAGAACCTAGCAAGCTACCTAGAGTTTCCTACCCACATGGCAGAGCCTGGCAAGCTCCCCGTGGCATATTCAATATGCCAAAAACGGTAACAACAATGGGTCTCATTTCCCTGATGCTAAAAGAGCCTCCAATGCGGCACCATTGGGAAGGACGAGTAAAGAGAGGCTGCTAAGATCTCAGGGCTAGGATGAATGGAGACGTTACTGGCACCCACTCAAGCAAATCAATGAACAATGGGATGACAGTGATGCAGTGGTTAAGTATGATGTGGGGAGGGGTGCTGAAAAACAGAATCATCAAAATTAAAGTCTCAAAAAATTGGAAGAAAAGTGTTAAGGAAATCAATCCAGATTCAAAGAAAAAAAGAAAGGACAAACTTTAAGAAATGTTTCACATTTATTTCAAAAATTCATAGTCGGGGGGAGAGAGAGAGAGAGAGAGAGAGAGAGAGAGAGAGAGAGAGAGAGAAGCATTTTGCAGGTGAAAAATCTGAAACTTAGATAAATTAAGATAATTAATTCTCTAAATGTCCACCAAGAAAGTCAGAACTATTCCAACTATTTGTACTCATGAAATTCAACCAGTACCTACATATGTGATGCCAATGGTTGTTTGCAATTTCCATCACCCTAATTGGTGAATGTGGTTTCCCTCCTCTAGTTTACATCAGTTGTTTACACCTGGCTTACCCTTAGGTCAATGAGATGCTGGTCTGTCTCTTAAGGTTGTTTATGGCTGCATTAAATCTCATTAGTCATGCTAGTGCTAGGATAGTCAATAGCCATTATTTACAATTGGCATATGACTCTCACTGTGGAAAGTACCCATGAATATTTGAAAATCGCCCTGCCAGAGTCATTGTCTTTCCAAAATACCAACATGATTTTCTGATTTAATAAAAAAAAAATTATATCATTTCCTGATATAATCCAAAAAAATCAACAATTATTGACACTGCTGTCATCTTCCAATTTGAAACTGGAGGAAAGAAAAAAGGCTGTTTTCCATCATAACAACCTGTAAACAATGATAAATTGGAAACTCACCCCACATTTCTGTGCAACACCAAGAAAAAAACAACTGTGCTCTTAAATTCCTCCTCCTCCTTTCTCAGGTGATCCTGATGAAGCACACATCTATCTCATCTGGTGAGCCCTGTTCTAAAATCTCCCCAGAACAGACAAGAGATCAAAGTCCCAAATTGGGATATTTAACCTAAGGGGCTTAGTGGAAGCAGGGATTCGACATAGACCACTAAAATTTGTTGAACGGAGAAAGCAAATAGGAAATCACACACAAAAAAGATGAAGCCTGTGCTGACATTTACAGCAGAGATGAGCCATGCCTTTATCTCTTGTCTGGGAGGACACACTGAATTTTTAAGAAACAACTCAGAAAGAATCATCACCGTCTGGACTGAAAATCAGCTAATGAAGCTGTCCTGTTGTTGTTTTTTGTTTATTTGTGTTTTGTTTGTTTGTTTTTGCTTTTTGGGTCACTTCTGGCTCTGCACTCAGGAATTATTCCTGGCAGTGCTCGGGGGACCATATGGGATGCTGGGAATCAAACCCGGTCAGCCATGTGCAAGGCAAATGCCCTACCCGCTGTGCTACCGCTCCAGCCCCAAAGCTGTTCTGCTTTTATAGTGCAAGAATAACCCCAAATTTCAGACCCTTTGACACATCAAGTTAAAACAGCCAAAGTTTATGATCAGCAATGTTGGATTCTGCCAACATAAAACCAAAGTCAAAGTTAAAAGTCCAAATGTTATCTTGGTAGCTGGCACAGCATCAAAGATTGATAATGACTTCCTTGAAACTGAGGCCTTTGGTTAATGTCCTACCAGGAAGCATGATAGAGCAGTTCAGACTTGGGTTGAGCATTTATGGGATCGTGCACACAACACCTTTGCCACCTAAGAGTTTTCTCAGAAATCATCAGGAGCTAAATGCTCCTAAGCACTAGAGAATCACACCCTAACTGTCATTTTCATAGCTCTGAGGAGGAAGTAAGTAAAATGCCACTGAGCTGCTTGCTATTCTGCACTCACCGTAAGACCAACCAAAACCAGAGGCAGAGTCTATAGCAGGAAAAGGGCCTTCATTCCTAGTCCCCTTTATCAATTCATGGAAGGTTTGCCTGATCGGTGCTTCTAAATATTGCTATAGACTCAAGTCTGTACATACAATGATCATCTATATTTCATTCCCTGCCGCTTTGTCTAACAAACATGTTTGCCAGTTTCCATGACCTTTATGACTCACCTAAAGCATGATTTTACTCCTGCTTTTGTGCTCATCGATAATTTATTATATTTCTGTTGTTCTTTCCTTCAAAAATCTCAAAGCCACTCAACTCCTAGGTAATAAACTCTTCTTAAAAACCATAAACAGTACTGTCCAAGGATAAGAACTAGTAGAGAAAGAAAAGAAGGTATGAGTCTGGTGAAGAAAGCAACCAAGTAATTGACAAATTAGAAGGTCCCTTTCCGTCAGTTCCAACTGCTAGACCTTAGCAAGATCTTGTATTCCAAGTAATAGAGCAGAATGCTCTTTTGTGGGAAGAGGTAAAAAGTTTGTGCAGAGGGACTTGGGGTTCAAGCATGATGGTGAACTCACAGGACGCTCCAGAAGGAGTTCAAAACATACCCTAAACAACTGTGTCTTGAAATCAGGAGGAAGAAATACTTGATGGTGCTTTAGAACTCATCACCAGGTTGGATTATTCTTTACAAGTATGATTCAATCAAAGTCCTCCATTCAGCTGTGAATTTCAGTGATTGGAGACTTTCAGGGGCCAGGGGCAGTCCAAAACAGGAAATAGTCTCAAAGTCAAAAAGTGAGAGGGTGGCTTCATTTTGAAATCCCTGGACCAGTCCCTTTCATGGGATCCTTTCCCAAAGCATGCTGGGATCCCGGAAGTGATAATGATGTCATGAGTTTGATTTTTCTGTTTTGGTATCTTTGTTTTCTTGGAACCACCCTAAAGAAGTACCACAAACTCAAGGGCTTCAACATCAGAAATATATTATCTGCAGCTGTGTCGAGAGAGAGAGAGAGAGAACCAAATAGAGACAGAAACCATTGTGTATGCCTAAAGCCTCCAGTTTGCCTTTCTTTGCTATAGGAGCTCTAGGAATTGATAGCTATCAACAATCTTATTCTCCCAAGATGTAGGGCCTTTGCCTTGCATGTGTCCAACCCAAGTTCTGCCACACATGATCCCCCTGAGCAATCCAGGAGTGATCCCTGAGAGGAGAGCAAGGAGTAAACCCTGAGCACAGTTACAGTTTGGCCACCACAGTTTTATGGCCACCAAAACCATAAAAAAAATAGACATATGTACATATCCATACAAATACGTAGAAAATATACATAAACACATATGAATTATGTACTTTATTAAAATATAAGCACACAGATTATAAAATATATATACATAATGAGCCAGGGAGAAAACTCAAAGGACTGGAGCAAATGCTTTATAGGGAGAATTCCTAGGTTTCCTGTTCTGAATGGTACCCAAAGCACCACCTGGAGTAACCACTGAGCACTACTTGGTGCACCACCCAAACATTCTATACAACCGTGTGTGTGTGTGTGTGTGTGTGTGTGTGTGTGTATGAAAAGTTATGCTTGTTTTATTGTACAGATGAGGAAACTGTCTGTGATTTGAGGAGGAGGAGAGAAGATTCACACCCTCATATGTGGTTGGATGCAGATTAGAACTCAGGTCCCCAACCTCATTCTGGTTTCCTTTAGCATCATTGTGTCTCCACACCCCCCGCTGTGTTAACTGCTCAGCTGCCCATGGAATGGGGTTCTTTGTGAGGTTAAGCTGTGCTTAATATCCACTAGAGAGTGAATGAAACCATTCTCCATGGATATGTGCAGTGAAGTCTCTTTGGGCTCTTGGAAGGAACTGAACCAATTTTTTTTCCAGTAAGGAAAAAGCGTTCTTTGGAAAGAAGTTCAGGAATCCACTGATGATTCCAGGCCAACCCATGCCTCCAACAAGCTTGAACTGACCAGGAAACAGAGCTGTGATGGGCTCTCAGACCCCTACACCTCCGCCCTACATCTGGGGAGAGGGGCAGGGTGAGAAATGCTTCGGTTTGAAGAGTGACAGTTTCCTAGACAGAGTTACTAACTCTCTGTGCCCCTCCCCAGGCAGGCAGAACACACCAGAAATACACTTCCATCTAAGGACCAGGAAAGAGGATCTCTTACCTTCCACTTGATAAGCTGCCGTGGCTGCCCCCCATCCAAATCCGTCAGGGAACGCCATGTCTTCAAAAGGTTGCTCAGCCAAGGGAAGTGAAAGCTCCTCTGCCCTTTGGTCAGAGAATTCTGACAATTCTGCAAACAGCAAGTAACTACTAACCCCGGCCAAAGTATCTGAACACAAACGTGTGTGCAAATAAGAAGGGCACCAGATTAAAGGATCATACTTGAGTGGCAAGACACTGATAAGAATCCAAGATAACTTATACCAGGCCACTCCTTAAACTTTCCCCTCTGGACAGTCCCTGACCCTTAATGGCTGCACCAGCTTGACTGTGGACATGCAGGACACTAATCTTTTTCCTCTTCATTTAATGGACATTGTATTTTAAAATTACATTAACTGACTTGAATTTTCCAATAGTCAATTTCTAACCCCCATTCCAAGGATATAACCATTCTCAGTGGCTTCCTCTCTGTTACCTCTCCCCACGTTCTCTAAAGAATGGACTGAGACACTGTTCATAATGGCCAGAATCTGAAAACAACCCGAATGCCCAAGAACAGATGACTGGTTAAAGAAACTTTGTTAAATCTACACAATGGAATACAATGCAGCTGTTAGGAGAGATGAAGTCATTAAATTTGCTTATAAGTGGATGGACATGGAAAATATCATATGAGGTGAAATGAGTGAGAAAGAGAGGGACAGACATAGAAAGAATGCACTCTTTTGCGGAATATAAAATAACATAATACAAGACTGACACCCAAGGACAGTAGACACAAGGGCCACGAATATTGCCCCATAGTTGGAAGGCTTTCTCATGAGCTGGGTGAGAAGGCAGCTGGAATAGAGAAGGGACCACTAAGACAATGATGGTTGGAGGAATCGTTTGGGATGGGAGATGTTTGCTGAAAGTCAATAAAGGACCAAACATGATGGCCTCTCAGTATCATAATGCCCAAAAGTAGAGACAGAGAGTATGGGGGAAGTTTTTTTGCCGCAGGAGGAGGATGGGAAACGGGGGGGGGGGGTGTACTGGGGACATTGGTGGTGGAGAATGTGATCATTATATGATTGAAACTCAAACATGAAAGCTTTGTAACTGCATTTCACAGTGAGGAGGAGGAGGAGGAGGAGAAGAAGGAGAAGGAGAAGGAGAAGAAGGAGAAGGAGAAGGAGGAGAAGGAGAAGGAGAAGGAGAAGAAGAAGGAGAAGGAGAAGGAGAAGGAGAAGGAGAAGGAGAAGGAGGAGAAGGAGAAGGAGAAGGAGAAGGAGAAGGAGGAGAAGGAGAAGGAGAAGGAGAAGGAGAAGGAGGAGAAGGAGAAGGAGGAGAGGAGGAGGAGGAGGAGGAGGAGGAGGGGAAGGGGAAGGGGAAGGGGAAGGGGAAGGGGAAGGGGAAGGGGAAGGGGAAGAGGAAGAGGAAGGGAAAGGGGAAGGGGAAGGGGAAGGGGAAGAGGAAGAGGAAGTGGAAGAGGAGGAGGAAGAAGAAGAAGAAGAAGAAGAAGAAGAAGAAGAAGAAGAAGAAGAAGAAGAAGAAGAAGAAGAAGAAGAAGAAGAAGAAGAAGACTACGACAACCCGGGGTGTACGGGTGTATGGGTTCTCACTAATCACACCCCCCCCTCTCTTTCTCTCTCTCTCTCTCATTATTTCTGTCTTCCCCACCATCTCCAATTCCCCAATTCCCCCATGATAATAATGACCTTTTCTTCTTCAATCAATATGCAATAGTGACCTTACTATGATGTTGCAGGATTCAAAACTGAGCCATACCCTGCTCACATGCAAATTTATACTTTGGGGGAGAGGGGCAATCAACTGTTTGGCTCTTTTTTTGGCTTTTTTAAGCTTTAATTTTAATTTTCTCTCTACCTGGCATCAATTCAGTCCTACATCTTACAGAACTCCACCTCTCTGGGAGATTCCACTATCTCTGTCTGCCTTTTGCACACCATATGGGTTGTTTCGGGTGCTCCTGAGCTGTCACACCTGTGGCCTCCTCCAGCTGTTTGCCAAGTGCTCTTCCTATTTATACTCCTCCAACAGAAGCAAAAGTTTGAATAACTTTCTGACAAAGGAGATATGGGAGGTATTTTTCTAAACCTGAGTTTTGGAATTGACTCTATTCCAATATCACACTTGCTGTGTCATGTGCCTACTGTGGGATTTTATCATAGTATGGGATTTTATCATCATTTTGTTTTGTTTGGGACCGCATACAGCTGTGCTCTGGGCTTTCTCCAGCTCTGTTCTCAGCCAGTGGTCCCACTTCCGGCAGTGCTCAGGGGACCAAACAGGGTGCTGAGATCAAACCAGGGGGTAGAAAAAGTGCAAGGCAAGCACCTTTCGTGCCAGACTAGTACTTTGGTCCCACTGGACATGTTTTTTTTTTTATCCATAGTTTGAAGGCATTGGTTTGTGACTTGCTAACTTCCAAGTTGGAGAAGTTTGATAGTAATTCCAGTCCTAATCTTCATATATATGGATGTGTGTGTATGGTTTTTTGTTTTTTTGAAATTATAATTTTAATTCATATATATATACACACACACATATATATACACACATATACCTTGTCACTTTGTCACTTGTCATCTCATTGCTCATTGATTTGCTCCAGCGGGTGCTAGTAACATCTTCATTCGTCCCTGTCACGTGCTAGAGTAGCCCAGTGACATCTGCTCTCTCCAGGAACACCAAGAGCCTCAAACTACTCACTCAGGGTCTTGATGAAGATGTCTGACCATCTCGTAGGTGAGTGGCCAGGCGTTCTTTTGACATTTTCCGTGGAATCCAGTCAGTAACGCTCTAGTCCAGCGGTCGTCTTCAAATATATAAATATATATACATTATATATATACACACACACACACATATATATATAGAACATCCAGTTTGCATATACTTCCCTGCTCCACTAACTTCCTCCTCTGAAATTTCAAACCCATGTGATCTAAAGGTTTCTTCCTCCAACCTACTAAGCACTTAGTGTGACATGGATGGTGTTGTAGAATTTGGGGGCCTCAAAAGCTGAATTCAGGGGGATCCAGAATCCCCTACTGTCTGGCAATTCTCAGTCACCCCGATCCTGCAGAATGGGGTGATACTGAGAGCTGGTGGTTCCTGATTCCCACCCACCCACCTCCCACTGCGCTCAGAAGTCTCCACGGCAACACCTGGTGATAATCAAGAGCTAAGTGGAGCCAGAGATCAAATACAGACCAGTTGAGTGCAAGGCATGCACCCTAACCGCTGTTCTCCCTCCCCTAGTCCACAAGAGAGACTGCTGACCAAGGGGAGTATTGCATGAACCGCTCCTGGGAATGCTTTGCACTAGCTCTGCAACTTTTCTGAGCATCTAACAGTGATCCAAAATGTAAGAAGTCTTGTTAAAAGATATCTGTGAAGAAAGAAATTATAAAAAGTCTAATTTCAATTGAGCTGGAGCGCTAGCATAGCGGGTAGGGCATTTGAGTTGCACGGCGGCTGACCCAGGTTCGATTTCTCTGCCCCCCTCGGAGAGCTCGGCAAGCTACCAAGAGTATCTCGCAGTCACAGCAAAGACTGGCAAGCTCCCTGTGACATACTTGATATGCCCACAAACACAGTAACAACAAGTCTCACAATTTGTTGTGAGACGTTACTGGTGCCCGCGCGAGCAAATCGATGAATAATGGGAGGACAGTGCAGTGCAGTGCAATTTCAATTGCTTATTCAGGATACCTCCCCTCCCCGGCCCCCCCAGAAATTACCCCAAGATTAGAAGGAGGTTTGAATAAACTGGAACTCCATGTTCTTGAGTTCTCCCAACCTTGAGAGAAAGAGGCCAAATACAGCACAAAAGAAAGAATATTATAGGTCATTATTTGGTAAACTAAGCATCAACAGTACAGGACAGGTTATAAAATTCTGTGTCTATGTAGAATTAGTTCTGAAGCAACCATAAATTAAATTTTAAAAAATAAATAAGACTTTCATGATCAAACACTAGATGGCAGTATTGCAATTTTTTTTGGTTTGTAAGTTGACAGATGAAGTGTTAATACAATCAGGTATCTCTCCAATGACAGTCTTCGCCAGCACCCCCTAGCTAATTGCAACTAGTCTTCTAATGATTTTTGTCTAGGAAAAAAAGAAAAAAAAGACTACTTCTTCATGCTTTGTATGCTCTAAAGGTATTTGATCACAAATGGCAGAGTTTCATTTTTCTCAGCTCTGATTAGATTTTTGAGTAACAACATTCTCAAGCACTCTGGTGTCAGGAACATTTTAGACTCTTCAAAATTTGGGCCCCTAAACAAGTTTTTAGATGTGGATTATCAATATCTACATCAATTTCATAAGAAATTAAAACTCAGGATTAAATATATGTGTAATATTTATATTTATATATGGATAAATATATATACATGAACTTCTTTAAAATAGCAATAAAATGTCTGTAAACATAAATGACATATTTCATGAGAAATAATAAGCCAGGGGCCAGAGCAATAAATAGTTCAGCAGGTAGGGCACCTCCTTGCATGCAGCCAATCTGGGTTTGATCCGCATCACCCCTTATGGTTCCTGGAACACTGTCAGAAGTGATCCCTGCATGCAGAGCCAGGAGTAAGACTTGAATACAGAGATATGTGGCCAAAAAATGGGGAAAAAGGACAGAAAAAAGAGAGGAAGAGAAGGAAGGAAGGAAGGAAGGAAGGAAGGAAGGAAGGAAGGAAGGAAGGAAGGAGAGAAGGATGAAGGGAGGGAGGGAGAGAGGGAGGGAGGGAGGGAGGGAGGGAGGGAGGGAGGGAGGGAGGGAGGGGAGGAGGAAAAGAAAGAAAATAAGCCAAGAGAAAAAATAAATGTAGTAAGCAGTATTTAGCATTGTGTGAAAATCTCTTTCACATGTGGCTTAAAAGAGGACAGTTAGATGTTCTGAATGTTCAATTCTGCCTCCTATGAAATTTGTTGACTCTGGAATACTCCACCGTTGACATACAAATATGAGTGATAAATCCTGCCTTATTAGCATTGTAAGTATAGTAATTACCTTGTGGACCTCCAAATGGTCTTAAGGACACCAGGGTAACTTTAACTCTCCTGATATCCTCTTTTTTTCTCCTTTTTAAAGAATTTTTAGTTGAATCACCGTGAGATACACAGTTCAAAGTTGTTATGATTGAGCTTCAGTCATACAGTTTTCCAACACCCATTCCTTCCCCATTGTGCATTCCCCATCAACAGTGTCCCAGCTTTCATCCGGACCCCCTGTCTTCCTCTTTCTCAGGACTTTTCATTGCTGCCTACAACTCCTCTGCATCCTCACCTTTCAAAAATCTCATTCTATCAACATTCCATTTTAAATCTTACAACATAAAAGTTTGCAACCACCAGGCCAGAGAGATAGATCAACAGGCTGAGTGCATGTTTGCTACACTTTACGTCCAGGGGGTTCCCACTGGACCCCCAGCACTGTGTCAGCTCAGACATCTAAGCCCAAGACGAGGTCCCAAACACCACCAGATGTGCCCTCTGCGCCCCACAAACGCAACCACAATCTTGGGTGACATGATTCATTTTATTTCTTCATTTTCTGATTGGATAAAGTCTTTACATTCGGACTCCTGCTCTATCTAGCAAGACAAGATATTAGTTTAATTTATGGTTTAAATTCTTCTACGATTGACTTGATGGCCACATGACAAAACTTAGGTTTATGAAGACCAATTTGAAATAAATAAATAAATAACTGGTGTCTTCATTCTCCCCTCCCCATTTCGGTTTATGTGACTCAAAATCATAAAATTCGTCCTCTGATCTCAGCCTCCTGAGGCCCCCTCAAGTCTGGTAACTCTCTAGCTTGAGAAGTGGCGATCCTTCTCTTCAAGGTTAAAATCTGGTGACTTGAGTTCAACTTCCTCTTCCAGACCACACAAGTAATCCCTTTAAGATAGTGCCACCTTCCAGGAAAAGACCTCACGGCTGCACACCAAGTTCTTCTCTTTCTGAGAGCCAACATCCTCTGTCAATTTTCCAAGCTGTAGGAAAACATAAGTTACTTGTAATAAGGTTCTGGCCACAGGTAATGCTCCCCCCGGAAGTTCAGAGAGTACTGAAAGATGATATATCTAGGGCCTGCTAGGGGGAAAAATGTCTCTTGCAGCAACTGTTTTCTCTGTTAACCACAAAAGAAACTGCTGCTTGGTAAGAATTCAGCTGCATTAGTCATGACATAGACCCACCCAACTTGAAATGCCAAGATTTCAAAATCCCTGGCGTTCACAATGTGCCCCTGTACCTGGGTCGGGAGGAAAGTGAGGTTGTAAACAAGCATTTTTCTGCCTGCAGCAGAGATTGTTTTGTGGTAGCCAAATCCTGTTTCCTCTTCCATCTGGGCACACAATAAGATCCCATTTGTCAGCTCCCTTTGCAAGGAGCTGGGGCCATATCACTAGGTCCCGGCCGGCAGAATGTAGGCATCAGTAGCACACACCACTTCCAACGCCAGGTCGTTGAAATCTGCCCACAAGATGATCTGTGTTTTATCCATATGTCATCATTCTTCTTTTATCCTCCAGCTGGAAACAGAGGCACCATTGGCAAACTCTGAGGCCCTGGGAACTTCTAAATGGTGCCTGGTTCTCTGCAGCACCACCTGGAACACAGCCCAGCCCCAGCCCCACGCACAGCCTACTTTGAACTGGAGTATAAATGAAAAATGAATGTTTACTTAGCTAAACCACTGAGAACGGGGAGTTGTCGATGCAAACACTCTGGAAAGTAGCTTCCTTTAAAAATAAAAAATAACATTCAGGAAAAACATTTAATGACTTTCAAGTACATTTTCTTCAGCAGGGAAGCCTCTGGGGTGACATCCTGTCAATAGCAGGGAAAGAGAGAGAGGGATGGGGAGAGAGAGAGAGAGAGAGAGAGAGAGAGAGAGAGTGCTAAAGGACAAATCGACCTGCAATGGTTTATGGAATGAGTTAGTCATTTTGGTTTTTCTGCATTTCCCAAGAATGATCTATACAAATCTTGAGCAAAGAAGGCACATTGTATAAAAGTGCTTCCCAATCAGGCCCTTGACTCCCGAGAGTCATCAACCTTCTTTTTACATTTCAATAACTTTACCCTCTATTGCCTTTCCCATCGGATCTGAACACTGGTCTTGGTGCTCTCAAAGGAGGACTAGTAATACTGCATCTGGCCTCACAGGACTCAAAGTCTGCCATGGAGCACACCGGCTAGTTCAAATAAGGTAAAAAGAATTCAATAACTCTAATTGCAGTGGCACGCTTACTTCCTACCTGGTGTCCCAAGCTATCTGAAACATCCATTTTCTTCCTTTCGGCTGAAATACATAAATTCATTGTCATGGTACCAGTTTTCCATGCATGAAAATAAAAAAGTTAATTTGTATAACAATGGTCTCCTTTTTTTTGAGGGACTAGAAACTCAAAATACAAAGTCTCGAAAGTAAATCAGTTATAAAATAAATTACTGATTGTGAAAATTCTGAAGACCAAGAGGCATATGGGCGGGAGCTCAGAGAAGGGGTACTTATTAATCTGACCACCCAGGATTCAGCTGACTCTAAAGATTCTCCTGAAAACAGAATCTGATTTCCACATGAGTGGAAATCAGATTTTCCAGCTTTCCCTTAAGAAGCCTATATGCTTCTGGAAAGGCAGACAATGCACGTCACACCCAATAACCCATCAGCTCCAGGGACGCGAGTCCATCTTCATGTCTCATTTCATTGGATACAGAAATCGGCCAAGATGTAAGCTTGAAATCCAATCTAACTGTGCAATATGAAAAAAATGCACATTAGGGTTTCTGAGAAAGAAGCCTCCTTATTCTGCCATAGAAGCTATCCCAAAATAGAAACTTCTTCTATTACACACAAATGTGAAAGTTTGGAGAACCACTTCATAAACATGTGAAAAGGGAAAAAATGAAGGAACTGAACCTTGGAGAATCAAAGAATTTTCTGAACGGTTTGGGCCCATTTAGGTTGTATTCTATTTCTTGCAAAGGGTTTGTTTGCAGAGCACAACTATATTTAAGGGGCATGTGTATCTTTATATCTGTATTTACATTTAAATATATGTATATATATACTCATATGAAATATAATTTGTGTTTACATCTATTCTTCTATGAGTGTAACTCATGTAAATTTTTGGTTTTGTTTTGCTTTGGGGCCATACCCTGAGATGCTCAGGGATTACTCCCAGCTCCACACTCAGGAATTACTACTCACAATGCTTGGGGAACCATATGGGATGCCAGGGATCAAACCCAGGTTAGCTTCATGGAAGGCGGATGTCCTGTCCATTGTACTATCTTTCTCTGCCATAACATTTTATTAATGAACATAGACATGTGAGAGTATATGAGTGTATATCTCATGAATCATATGTACATCTCTGTATCATAAATCGCCTCCAAATAAAGAAAATGTACTGTATATTTTTTCTAACTACCTTGAATTTGGGCCTGCTTTAGCAGGCTGGAAACGAAGATATATGTGAGATAATTAATGGCAGGCTCAAGTGGGATTCACTTACATTATTTCTACTTATTTATCGAAGGCCACACATCCCATAAGATTTAGCATGAAAGCAACAGAAGCAACACAGTTTATCACTCAGCATTTCAAAAAGCCATACAACTATACAATTAAGGATTTACTCTTGAGTAATTTTCAAAACAAACACAAAATGGGCTGCTCTTCAAGGTGTTGACAGACTGATACTAACAATGGCATATAAGTACTCACAAAAGTCATTCAATATCACTCAGAGCTCATCTGTTGGGCTTAGAAGCTGAGAGAATGAAAAGAGGGTTTCTTAGAACTTCTGCAGGGGCCGTGCAGCAAATACCCACAGCTGTGGTTTCTAATCCTTGGCGAAGGCACATTTTAGGACACTAGTCATAGAGCAGCTGCAGGGATCCTGTTTCAACAGGATTCAGATTCACCAGAATTGTTAGCCCACCAGCTTGAATTTAGTTATCCATGTTGCCCTTGGTTAGATCAGTACAATCTAGACTCCACTTGTTCTTGTGCAGGATTTGGAGAAGGGTTCCACTGAGCTGAAACTTGGGTGCAGCAAGAAGCAAAGTGCCCAGGGCACAGGATTTCAGAGCCTCAATCCCAGTTCCACCCTTTGAGACCAGGAAGAGAACACTCATGTTCAAAGGCCGCACTACAAACCACAAATGGTTTTCTTTCCAGGTTGTTTGTGGCAATGCACAGGTGTGCATACGCCTCGGGTCTAGACTGTCACTAATCCACCTAATCCCATGAGTGTTTGCACATTTGAGTGCACCTTTGATTGCTAATCTCACTTCAGGGACAGAGTCAAAAACTTCAAAAGCATTTTCTTCCCACAATGAATTAAGTGATGCATTGGAGTTTCAAAATCTGAAAAGGAAACATGAAAGAGTGGAATCTGGCCAAAGACAATGTAAAACCAAAACAATCAAGCAATTTCAATGATCAGAAACGTATTTGAGTTCCACCGCATTGGAAGAGCAAGTGTGGCTTTAGGATGGCTCAAGTTGCACCAGGAGAACCAGCCCAGACTTTCTTCTATCTTCAAAGCCCACACATAGTGTGCATACAATTTTGAACCTTCCTGTGGTCCTCCTCTTACTTCTTGACAACTTCAGGAATACCTCCCAATGATTGACTTTAATTTTTTTAACCTGTATTACATATAAGTCCTCGAGTTACCTCCATCCCTGTGACTGTATTTCCACTCAAAATATGTACAAATATTTTGTACGTATATATGTATATATATGTAAAAAATGTGTATTTTCCTCTAAGATTGGTTGCCTCCTACTTTGTACCCTATCAAATGTGTTGCGGTACTCTTGGAGTATGGGTAAGGTGTGTGGTGTGACATATTCCTGGCCGCACATTCCAGGAACAGATTCACTGGTGGGTGATGCTCTGTGTGGGGTGTGGCTGTGAGCAGGGCGGAGTTGGGTTCTGGAAGTTTTCAGCTGCCGCGGCTGGGTCTCTTGGGGCAGGGAGGCATCTCACCCACCCTCTCCAGGGTACCCCAAGTGAAACAGCCTGGCACAGGGTCCGGTGGCATGGTTATGGCAAGTGTTATATTATCCTCCCTTCCAGGAGAGAAGGACATGCTGATGACAAGATTATCTGATGCCAGCCAGAGGTGGTTTATGGGCATGACTACTGAATGGCCAGAGACAGGGGGACACAGGTGGAGGATCCCCAATCCCTGTCTCCTTGAACCTAGAGTTCTCAATCACAAATTCCCACATACCTGGATTTTTCCAGAGATTCATTCATGGGTTACTGCGTTTCATTCATGGGTGAGGCTTGATTAAGCATGTGGAGAGTGGCCTTGAGCATGGCAGCAGCTGGATTCCGGAGGTTTTCGGCTATCAGGGTTGGATCCCTTGAGGAAGGGAGGGATCTTATCTGCCCCCCCCCGGGACACCCCAAGTGAAACAGCCTAGTGTAGGGTCCACTGGCATGGTTATGGCAAGCGTCATGTTATGCTCCCTTCTGGGAGAGAATGACATGGGATCTCCTGAGTCATCTTTCTAAAACACAAATTGTTCAGAGAGTGTCCTGTGTCCCTGAAGGTCAAGCTTCTTCATCTAAACATGATGCTAGGCCTTCCCCAAGATGTTTAGTACAGATCTCCCCAAAATGCCTTGCTCTTGCACTGAATTATTATAATCTAATAGCAAGCCAATCAAGGCTTACAAGAAATGTTTGCTTCTCTCTTAACTACCTACAAGGGTGAAACTGGGTTATTTCCCATAAGTGGGACTTTTTCCAGAAATAAGCTTTCTATTAAGAATATTCTCTGACCATTTCCTCCTCATCAGATTTTCCTTCATGGCCCCTTGAAGCCCCAATGTCCCATTCCATTCCTTAGTTCAACTTAACTTTGTGCTCCTCTCTTGAAGCAGAATTACATATACATATTTGTAGATAATTATTTTAAATACTGTCACCTTATTTTGAAAGTCTGTGTAACCTTATTTTGAAAAACTATAATCACCTGTTTCCATGTTGCAAACAATATTTCTCATGTTTAGTAAAACTGAATTTTTGTCCAATGGTCATGTTTGAGAAATTCTTTATATAGCTTTATTGTATAGTTGGCCTCCTATTCTCTAGAGAAACTATCAGAAACTGTAAAAAGAAGAAAATAAGGGGTCATATATTTCTATTTTTGTGCTTTTGGGTACCATTCTGTTAAGACAAAATACCAATGTGCCTCGCCATATTCATTTCTGGATCATTCTCCCTAGTTTACAAATTTTATTTCTGCTTCTGTCCTTTGAAAGTCTGGAACTTTTGGCTAAAACTCAGTACTTTATTTTATGCAAGAAAATGCATAAAACAAATATTTTCTTTTATAAAAATTTTTATTAGTGAGACATCATGAGGTACAGTTGTAGACTTACAAATTGTTGTGCTTGGGTTTCAATTATACAATGATCAAATACCCATCCCTCCACCAGTGCCTATTTCCCACCACCACAGATCCCAGTATCCCTCCCACCCCCCATCCTCCCAACCCACCCTACCTCTGTGGCAGGGCATTCCCTTTTGTTCTCACTCTCTTATTGGGTGTTGTGGTTTGCAAAAGAAGCAATGGGTGACAATCATGTTTGGTCTGTAGTCCACTTTCAGCATGCTTTTCCCATCCTGGGAGGATCCTCCCAACACCCTTTATTTGGTGTTCCCTTCTCTATCTGAGCTCTCTTTTCCCCTAGCATGTGTGGTTGGCCTCCAAGCCATGGAGTAAAATTTCTGGTACTAATCTCGGCCATTCTTGGGTGTAAGTCTCCTATTTTATTACTTTATGTTCCCAGATCAATGCAATCTTTCTATGTCTATCCCTTACTTTCTGAGTCATTTCGCTTAATATGATACTTTCCATGTAGTACCACTTGTATGTAAATTTCATGACTTTGTCTTTTCTAAGAGCTACATAGTACTCCATTGTGTAAATGTACCAAAGTTTCTTTAACCAGTCATCTGTTCTCGGGCACTCAGGTTTTTTCCAGATTCTGGCAATTGTAAAGAGTGCTGCAATGAACAAACAAGTGCAGATGTCACTTCGACTATACTTTTTTGCCTCTCTGGGATATATTCCCAGGAGTGGTATTGCTGGGTCAAATGGGAGCTCAATTTCTAATTTTTTGAGAATCGTCCATACTGTTTTCCAAAAGGGCTGAACCAGTCGGCATTCCCACC